CTCCGTCCTCTCCTCCTCCTCTCTCTCTCCTCTCTCTCTCTCCTCTCCTCCTCCTCCCTCCCTTCCTTCCTTCCTCCCTCCCTCCCTACCTTCCTTCCTTTCTTCCCCTTCTCTTTCTTTCTTCTTCTGCTTTTTGTCCTCTTGATTATATTTTTGTTGGCCTGAAGATTCTTAGTCAGGCACTTTTCCTTCGTCTATCCGATAGTAGATTTTTCAAGGATTTCCCCAAACTTTCTCCTGATAAACAGTGACAGTGAACCAGCTCAACGTTCTGGTTATTGCAAGAAAAAAAATTTTTAAAACAGAGTAAAAAACCCACAGACAGAGGAATGAATTTGGTTTTAGCGAATGCCTCTGAAAGCACATTTAAGAAGATACAATTAAAACTTTAAAGGATGTCATTGAAAGAAGGTAGCAGTCCTGATAGCAAATTGAGATGCTTTCTGTTCACGTATGTACAATGTATTAGTGGCTCGGGATTAACATTATAGGTGGACACATATGTATTTTTATTATTTATTATGGAAACATAAATGTATCTCTTCTCTCTATACGAACACAAATATATAGATACATTTATACAAATACATATGTGTGTGTAAATATACGTTTATACAAGTATATAGTTGTATATGTTTATGTATCTTTGTGGGTGTCTGTGTCGGTGTGTGTATTGCGTATGCTCTCACAACGTAGTGAGACTTCCAAATCGCAGTATCCAAGTCAAGAATGGAGGTTACTGTGCTGAAAATACAGACGTGCTCCCTTGGCACTAAACGCCTCTGGTTTTGTGGTCCCCCCCCCCCCACAGGTGTTCTGGGATAACGCCCCCCGACAAGATGCCAACGCGGGCGCCGTGGCAAGCACTCTCCGTGGTGCTGATTCTGCTCTGGGGACACCCGCGCGCCGCGCTCGCCTGTCCTCACCCTTGCGCCTGCTACGTTCCCAGCGAGGTCCACTGCACGTTCCGCTCCTTGGCTTCAGTGCCCGCCGGGATCTCTAAACATGTGGAAAGGATCAATTTGGGGTTTGTACCGCATTCTTTGTGAGCAATTTCAGCCTCCTCGCATGCGTGTTTGTTTGGTTTTCCGAACGTGTCTGTGCATTCGCGCAACAGCAAATGTATCCTCCTTCATTCGTCCCCGTTTTGGGTTATCTGCTCCTTTGTGCGCTGAATCGCGGGGACGTGTGTAACTACAGTAAAGGTGGTCTTTTGGGGGGCTGTCATCTGAAGTGATCCACCAGCCACAGCCTCCATCACAAGGCTTAATAATGAACCATCATGGACAACTTCAGTTCCTCGATAAGTCTCCTTTGATAACATTTCTTTAGTACACTGCAGATGTGAACGCATATGACACACACATAAATACACTCATAGTATTTAAGTAGACCTCAGAAACTATTAGAGAATAATAATTTTTTTTAAAAAAAAGATGAATCAGACATCTCTGACACCTTGTAAGTTACCCTCATGATGTGATTTTGACCCTGACGAAATAAGAGTTCTTTCAGATTCTGCCTTTGGAAAACATTGATATCTTTGGAACAGATATTTCTGTGCAGCATTTCAAGGAGAATTTTTCTATTTTTATTCTGTTTTAGACACATCGATGCTCTCTATGCCTCAGTGTGAGTTGCTGTGAATTGTAGCTGCCTCATGTGCCATTTTCATACTTGACAGTCACTCGTACAATGTTAATAGCGAACAATCATTTGGACTCCTTCAGCAAAATATATTTGCCACTTTCTACCATCTATAAAGCAACAAAATATGACTTAGGATTTGAGGAGTAGCCACCATGGGGACATTTTAGAGAAATGGCCAAGCTTGAGTCAATGAACAAAAACCCATAAATATGCCTCGATATCTTTGAGTAGAGAGTTTTTTTTTTTAAATTCTCATATTTATTGATTATAAAGTCCAGCAGTAAAATAAAAGGATGAGAAGTTAGGGCAATAAGATATAACCTTCCCTCATCGATAGCAACAGACCATTAAATAACTTTCTCCAAAAAATGTTGACAAACTTTACGGTGTGATTATCTGAAAATCTAACCACAAGGATGAAAGCTCTTTGCCAGAAGAGGGGCAATTAACAGTTTTGTTTTTACAGCTTTTAAACCAGTTGCCGTTCTTAACAATCGTACAGTTTATTAAGAAGAGGAACTTGCTTTGAATCAGGGTAAAATGGGTCATGCTAGGTTTGTGGGAAGGAAAATGGAGTTTGTGTGTGATTTCTCTTCTCTCTTACACCTCCTGGTGTGCAAAATGCCTCTGCCTACGAATTGCGTCTTCCACGGGCCGTTTCTTAGCATAGTGTCCCACTTCCTGGTTTACCCACTTAATCCCTCAATTCTGACCCCTTTGCAGGGCACAGAATGGGGGGCCCTGTCAGATAGGCCATAGGGGGCCCCCTAAAAAGGGTGGGGGTGAGGGTGTGACTCCTGCCTAAGAGGCATGAATTCCTCCCCTGTTGTGTGTTGGGGTTCTGGGCTGTCAGGTTGGAACTGGGTTTGCGGAAGATACTGCACGCACCTAAAAAAAAAGTTAACTGATGGATCT